GTTACACCAGGTACCAAGTAAACGAGAGTAGCAAGGAATAGGCAGAGGGTCTACGAGACAAAACAGTTTGAGAACTTCTGTTATAAATGAATGACAATAAATATCACTGTGTTGTGGGATTACAACTTAAGTTCCGGATAATGAATTAGGTTGCGGGCCTCCTTGGAAACTTCACAGTAAGTAAAACTTGAGCAGTTATTTTTGTATAACCTTAGGACTCTTTCTCGTGTAAAAGGTCAAGTTCCCTCGAGCGGGAAATGTTGCCAGCTGAAATCGATGAAATACTGTAATGAAATATATCACTATAGAGAACAATAGGTCTGTATTGTATTTTTCTATCGACAACACCATCAATGTTGATTCTAAATACTTGCGCTATATGAGGGTTTTGGGTTCCCGGCCAGAGTTATCGTTCCGAAATTTGAGTAGACGGGCAAAAACCTGATATTTACTAGAAACTTCGGACTTTTTAGCAACAAGTAACATCGAAAATGAAATAAATATATATGGAATATAGAAAATCTCTCTATGTCTCACGCGGCAGTAGAAGAGTTTTTGAATTGAGTTTTGCTACATAATTGCAAGATGGATATTTTACTTTTTATTCCGAAAATTGTTACCCTTAGCCGAAAAATCCGGATAAATGACAAATTCGGGAAGAAGGTCAGAAATCCTGACTTGTCCGGCTAAATCCGGATGGATGATAACCCAATTTCCGGCTGGCTTTGCTTCCCAAAATCGGTTAAATCTGAAATCACACCTTTCCGAATTGATTGTTCTAAATGTTATCGCCATAAATTGTTAGATAAAAAAGACGTTGATTTTCTTATTTAAAATCCAGGCTCTTGTTGGTGGAGTAGTCGTTAACCATATTTTGTTCAGCGCCCTAACTGTAATTTCTTGATAAGACACTACATTAACTTTCCACCTTGCTTGAACTAAATAACACCGGGATGTTTCCGTATATCTTTTTCCTATAATTTTCCTTCCAAAGGTTCGGCATAAATACCGCGGATGCCTAGGAACTCTGGTATTCTTTAATATAGTTTAAGTTTTTTGAATATAGTACATTATTGCCGGGAAGTAAGACATTGCAGTTTACCAGTCAAGCAATCCCCGTTCCCGCCAAGGCTTATATAGTGCTTTTCTTCAACAATGTGAGGAAATAATAAAGAGTAAATAGAGAAAGTAAAAAAATTTTACCCGTGAATGTCACGCGTGACCATGGGACCTGTAAAGGGTCCGAAACGTTGGTTTGTTTGAAAAAACAAATATACATGGTTTAGATTCGAAAAATAGGTTTTTTCCAAAAAAAAAATTAATAAATATTAAAAGTGATATCTGACATGTTAGGATAGTTATATTGCAAAAGAAAATGTTATTTTAAATTTTTATTGAATTGAAATTCAATTATTTTTTATGAAATTACTCCACTAGTTTGTTATAATTATTAATACAAACTTGTACATTCAACCACATTAACAGAAGGTCAACAGACTACTATTAACATGCCTGGAAAAACAATAAGTAACATTTTCTTTTAACAATTGTCCTAACATGTCAAATATTACTTTTAATATTAATTGATATTTTTTTTACTTTTTCCGTCATACATCCTCCTGTCTTTTATTATTTCCTCCTTGACTAACCTCTAATTCACCAACTAATATTCACATCTAATTCACAACCCATAAAGATGCATGTTTTATTACTTGAGTGCCCAAAGTATCACCTACGATACAGTATTAAATGGTTGAAAAAACCAAACCACTAACAGCAAAAGTCGAAAGGTTAACGTCCTTTCTAATTAAAAAACACGAAACCCTGGTAATAAGTAACTTTGAATCAACATTTACCCCTTAGAGAATTCACCATGTCGGTATTTGCACAAAGGTTCAATTTCGATTAAGAATTCCCGTTGTATACTCACGCGCCGGTGAAAAATACTTATATTATTAGCAATCGTTAACGTCTTAAGAAATGCAACGTTATATTAGATCGAATGAATGCATTGAGATAGCGTGAATTAAAAAATATTAATGAAAATATCATAGTTGATACCGGGGGCCTCAGGAGGATATTATTTGAGAAAAACACTATGCATATAAGCATCGGCGGGAACGGGGATTGCTTGACTTGTATTGAATACAAGGCGTCCCTAGCGCACGGCCTTGTAACTCATACTCGTTAAGCAATCTATTGCTTGCCAGGCTTGCAATAATGTATTATTATTCTTCTACTAAGATAACTCCGCACTAGGCTCTTGCAGTGCTACATCTGGCCAGTCGTTCTGTATGGATGCGAATCATGGACCATAAAAGAAGACCTCAGGAAACTTGAAGCGTTCGAAATGTGGTGTTATTGTAGAATTCTCCGCATAAGTTGGACGGACAAAGTCACGAATGTTGAGGTCCTTAAACGTAAGGTGAAAAAGGTGGAGTTTTTGTTGTTGTTTTTTCAGTTGCCTATTTCGGTCATGTACTGCGACATGACAGATAACACCTATTGCACACTATAATGATGGGCAAAGTAGCTGGAAAGCGGAAGGTTGGAAGAAGGAAAATGTCATGACTTCGTAACATCAGGGAGTGGGCATCAAGACCGTGGAACAACTGTTCAAGTTAGCTCTGGACAAAGAAAGATATTGAAAACTGACTGCCGAGTCGGCAGTCTCCGCGGCACTGTCGAACCTTCAATAATGGAGAGGCACTCAAAGAAGAAGAAGATAAAAAGAAAACCCACAACGAAAGCCAGGCGCAAGTGGCTAACGCATTATACCTCACACCAATGTAATTACACGTAATACCACTTATGATAAGTGTAGCAACGACGCCTCCAATAAATCTAAACGTAATTTTATGCCGCTTACGTACTCCTAAGCCAATAAAATATCGTAATGTACACACGTATCATATTACGCAAATCATGCGTAAATATCTTTCATATTTGTGACGTCATTCGGCTATTGTGGGATCATAACTCGGCTACGACACATTTTCGAGTATTTATTTACTCGAGTATTGTGATCGGAGTGTGAGTGCGTCGTTTGTTTACTATTTGAGTAGGTTCATTGGCATTCTTCTAAGGCGATGATTCCCAAAGTGGTTTATAAGGTTTACATTGACCTCTAGTAGTCCACTTCAACCTTCAAAGAGTCCAGCGGATGAAATAGGGGGTTACAAGACGAGAGATTACCTACGAAGTAAACATTACACAACAAACAAGATATGTAGCTACATTCAGTTACTTAAATGTATGTACAAAACTTAACATAAGTTTTTTTTATAAAGTTTCTCAGTTTACAGTTGAACTAACCGAATTGAGCAGCTCTCAAAAAAAAACATGCAGAAAATCCATATTTGAAACCTAGGGCGGTCTACACAAAAGAGAAAAAATGGCTCGTGGACTACAAGACAAACCAGTTCAGAAACCTCTGCTCTAAGCTATAGGCACGCTTTTGGATATAAGAATGGAATGGAATATGAGCTTATTTTACCATAAAAGAGTCCGTTTAATTCCTAAAAGGCATATGTTTAAATATCATGCAATGACTTTCTCCGCGTCTACCTCATACGCTTCAAAACCTACGAAACTACAATTTCGCGTTAAAGCAATTCCGTCTCGATAAATGTAGTGGACACCCTATAATAGCAAAGAGTATTTTGTAGTACCCTGAAAAGACGTTAGATGGCATTGATTGATTTTTCTTTTGAACAGCCCATCCTCCTGAATTTTGTTTGCGAAAGAAAATCTTACTGATTAATTAAAGAAACAATTTGGAGCTATTCAAGACTAAAATGACTAGGCATTTTTTTCTCTCAACTCCAAGGTTTAATAACAGTTAAGATACTTGTAGAAGAGTTTGTCCAGGGAAGTACTACCACTATATTTCTGCAAGCAGTTATGAGTTTGAAGGATATTTGTAAATTAACAGACACAGGCTGTGTACTCAGATCATATCAGATCAGATGCATCTTTATATAACACGTAGTCTTCAATTTTGTAACATGATTTTTCGATCAAAATATTTTTAATGTAGTTTTTAAATTTAGGAAATGATAAACTTAATATATGCTCCGGAATCTTATTGAAAAACGTATACACTTCCCCATAAAAGAGTCGTTTGTCTTAGTTAAACGAAATCGTGGTACCATGAGTTTGGATTTAGTTCTAAGGTTAATATTATGGATATCTTCTTTCTTAATGATATTATGTATATTTTTACGGGCATACAAAATATTTGAGTAAATGTACTGTGATGCCACAGTCATGATACCAGTCCCCTGAAACTTTTCTCTGAGACAAAGCCCGAGAGCCTAAATGATACACAGAACGAATCGCAGGTTTTTACAACACAAATATGGTTTGTATATCTACCGCTTTACCACATGAGAATCTCGTAGGACATTATACTATGGAAGTAACTAATCTCAATAAAGCTCACGAATTCTACACACTGCGTATGCAGCAGAACTTAATCTGCTGGCTAAGGAAGATATTATGTGGAAACCATTGAAATTTATTATCTAAGGTCACTCCCAAAAAGACAGCTTTTTTAACAAGGTCTAACTTTTCTCCATTTATTTATATGTTTGTACTAGTCGATGTCACATTAGGTAATTCAAATTTAACACACTTTGTCTTCTTGGCATTAAGCAATAAATTGTTAGCATTAAACCAATAAACTACCTTTGAGAGGGTGTGGTATTTATTGTTGATTTCTTTATTTTTGTCAGTGGCTCACTCGCCCCGGGCTTGCTGAAAATCAGTGCCACGAAACGGTTTTAACAAAGCCGATTATGCCTAAAGCTGAGCAAGTCCCGATTGTAGCATCCGTGACACGCATGACGGCGAATTAGGTACTACATCATTATGTCAAATTGTTTTAATATATTTTTTTTTTTTTCGTTATTGTTCCTCTATTGTTTTGTTTATATGCGTCTCTATGCTTGTGCGATAAACAGATTTTTTTTTATTTTAATTTAAAAAGACACACTCACCACTAGGAGTAAGTTGCGTGACACGATGCTCAGGAGGCTGTGCAGCATTGTGGTTATCATCTCGTGGGGGGCTGGCCACTGCACCTTCTGCATTGTTGTTCGGAGGCCCGGGTCCCTCGCCCGCCCCAGCTTCAATTTGTAACTAAAACAAAGAATACAAACATTATTCACACAACATATCGATATACACAGCTCAACCTATTAAGGACGTGGCGCTCGTCATAGGTCATCATCATCGTCACGATCGCAATTAGATTATGGAATGAACTCTCTGTCGGGGTTTTCGCGGCATGGAGTCCTTCAAAAGGGGTTTGAGAAGGGTCCTAAAATGTTGGCAACGTGCACGTGTTACAGGCGTTTAAAGGTGACGTTGACCGCTTTCCATCAGGCAGGCCGTATGCTTGTTTGCCGTATGTTGCCTACACAATATAAAAAATAATCATCATTTTTAACCCAAGCAAGACGTGGCGCTGTGCCACAGTGCAGGTTTTACCGGAATTATCTTGTAAACGAACCCTTTAAATTTCATGCATCTTTCGGTCACAGGTGACGTCAGTTGCTTCCCATAATTTCTTTTCTCTAATAAACTATAAACTGCCTCCGTGGCCGAACGGTTACCATGCCGGACTGCAGAGGTCCCAGGTTCGATTCCCGGGCTGGGAGAAATAGTTGTATGGCCTACAATTGTTTCTCTCGTGAGTTTGGGTGTAATTTGTGGATGTCTATGTGTGTGTACATGGCACCCGCGACACAGGGTTTCCCTAGTGCGGGGCTATGTTGAGTGTGTGCGTTATCTATTTATCTATTTTCTTTTATATTAGGCATATAGATGAATTCATATTTTGGAATGCACATGTTTCTACAAACATTGCTTTACAATCATTTACAATGCTAGAAAATCAATGGCTAAAAATTACGAAATGATAATAGATATTAAGTCCTATCGCCGTTTGTTTTTTATTTGACCATAGGATTGATTTTAAATGCCTATTTTTTTTGTAACGCACACACTCTTAGCCCCGCACTAGAGAAACCCTATATCGCAGGTGCCATGGACACACACATAGACAACCACAAATAACTCCCAAACTCATGAGAAAAATAAATAATACAATACTTGCCTTTGGGAGAACCCATGATTTCTTATGGCCTTAGTAGCTATAGTAGGTTATATAAAACTAAGCTTAATTTATTATCAATTTCAATTACGTTTAATAAAGATAATAGTTCCATACAAAGTTAAGGTAATACATAAAAATAACAATCAATCGATCTCTTCGAATATTGTAAAATCTTACAGATTCATGATAAAATTAAATACAACTTGCTTATAGAACAATTTTTTAATAAAAACTTGCAAAAAAAGTCAGTCACAAAATGGAATCTCGAAGTGCAACCAATCAATTAGTGATAATACCTCGTTATAATAATATATACGATAAAAATCGACTGAGTTATCAGATACCTAAAATAATTAATTCACTACCACCAGAAATAAATGTTAACCTTACAACTAACAGCATAAAAACAAATCTTAAATCATATTTATTAAATAAACTCTGAACGTCCTGTATACGTGAGTTTTTTTTTTATTGTAACACTCCTGCGAGGGTATTTATCTGTTTCGCTATAACTTATTATTTTCGTTCACAGGTCTTTTACTCGAGTAGTGGTTGTTTTTATGATAGTGAGTAAGCGTACTTACGTACGCCAAACGAGTGCCAGTTTTGTTACGAGTTCACGTCAATGAATCGCAGTGTACGGATTAACCTACTCAGATTTTTGTTATGTTATAATTTATGTTTTCTCTTTGTAAAAATTGTAATAATTCTTTCATTTTTTTGTGATTATTGTAATAATCATTCTTCTTGCATACCGAGCCAGACGATACACCAACTAAGCCACGAAGACGTCGGTTCGAATCCGACCGGATCGAAGGAATTTTTTCTGAGTGTTCGATCTTTGTATTAATAATTATAACAAACTAGTGGAGTAATTTCACAAAAAATAATTGAATATCAATTCAATAACAATTTAATTAATACAGTGAATAGCGACATCTCTCGCCAGGACTGGTAGCTGTAAAGGTACTAACTGGGTGATAAATCTGCAATAGATTTCTCATAGATGGCGCTACGACTAAAAAGTCGTTGAAAGACCAAGTACAAAGACACGACGCAAGCACATAGAAAAATTCGTGAGGTCCGTTGGTTCGTTCCGTGGCTTAGTTGGTGTAGCGTCTGGCACGGTATGCAAGAAGACGTCGGTTCGAATCCGACCGGATCGAAGGAATTTTTTCTGAGTGTTTTTTCTGAGTGTTCGATCTTTGTATTAATAATTATAACAAACTAGTGGAGTAATTTCACAAAAAATAATTGAATATCAATTCAATAAAAATTTAATTAATAATAATATTATTTGACACCCGGTAAATGGTGAGGTTGTTTGGCACGCTATTGTTACTCTATTGCGGAAAAAAAGACTTCAACCGATCACGATATTTTTAAATAATGTTCATCATTTTCACGACTAGTATTAAATGATACTTGTAAAATCAAGCAATCGTGAAACAGAGCGATATCGTAGCATTATCCGACGTTTGTCTTTCGAATACAATAAATTTGAATATTTCTCTTTCTCGTTTAAATGAGACCACATCTGCAAAATGACAATTATACGGGATTTTGGCGGATTGAAATTGTTACAATTTGTTGAGGCTTCATACTACAGATTTATAAATGATTTTAATCTAGGGAATATGGTATTATTCAAAGTCATAGCCAAATAATTTATTTGCATGTCACGGTAAAAGCATATAAAATACAATTAAAAGCGTATTGTGCCATGTATCATCTTCGTTTGTCGCGTTCAATTTTTACGTTGATAAAATTACTGTGCAGAACTGTCAAAATGTATTAAAATCAGCTGAGACCTTGCAGCCGTGTTTGGTACTGAGTTAATCTTTTGCACTCATTGATTGTGGCGCTCGCGATGACGTAAAGACGTGACGTCACGGTGCTCGCCATGTTAGCTATTGTGATAAAATTTTAAAACGCCGGTTTATCACTCCAATTTGAGAGCTAAATATGGATATAATAGCTTTTTTGTGGTGGTATTAGACGCCTTGATGTAATTAAGGCCACATCTGAGAAATAATAAATTTCAGGAGAGAGGATTAAAGATTGTACAGAAGAAAATAATCGAAAACGTTTTCATGCTTAAGTAGAAAGGTTGTAAAATTTCACATATGCATTATTTGTTTCATGTGGTTCGAATTATTTTCGTGAATTTCATGTGATAAAATCACTTTTGGTGTATAATCACATATGCCTTTATTATTTATATTTTATACCAAAGGTACTAATTCGCTCGAATATGAAGTCCTGCTGTCACTTTTGGGACGTGTCTATCCGATACCTTGGACTCGGTGGAGCGAAAAGTTTTGTTACCGCAGCTGATACCACACAATTGCATTTTTATACTTCGTGTTTATGTGAATAATTTGTGTTGTAATTTTATTTTTATTTTTATATTTGTGTTTTGTAATTATTTATTTGTATTTTACTTTTGAATGCTTTCGTTTTTTTCCATAATGCCAAGTGACGGGACTAACAAGTTCTGCGCCTGTTGGTCACATACGCCTGCCCGTAACAGTTGCATTGCCTCTCAGACCTTTAAATCGCACCCTCCAAAAACGAAACGAAGTAATGCTCGCATTACTAGAAATAGGTAAGATAATATCCTGTTCGAAACCTGGATGAACTCTTTCACAAAGAACTCTACTGCTATTAAAATTAAGGTCACATTTGTGTTAGTCAAATAAATCTTTCCTTCTTTCTCTTAAAAACAAAAAAAAATATTGGTCCGTTTTCTAACACAGGGTTTCTCAACCTGTGGTCCATGGTCCCCTAAGAAATCCGTGTAATGAACGCCGTGGGTCCGTGACGAGCCTACCTATTCATCATCATCATCATTATATCAGCCGAAGGACGTCCACTGCTGAACATAGACCTCTCCTAAAGATTGCCAGACCAGCCGGTCGGACGCAATCCATCGGTTACCCGCCGCCCTTACCAGGTCATCCATCCATCTAGTAGGTGGCACTCAACGCATTCCGGTTTGTGGTCTCCATTCAAGAATCCTTCTGCCCCAACGGCCGTCAGTTCTACGAGCTATGTGCCCTGCCCACTGCGACTTCAACTTTCTAATCCTTCGAGCTATGTCGGTGACTGTCGTTCTTCTACAGATCTCCTCATTGCTCGCTCCATAGCTCGTTGAGTGACTTCGACAGAGTCGGATTCGACGATTGACTTTTTTCGACAGATTCGACACTAACTATTACGTAAAGTTTAATCGCAGACCATTGACTTACAATTATATGGACGTCGGGTCCGCGCTAAAAAGTGTCCGAACTTATAGAGCGTTAAAATCGTATACAGAGCGTCATTCACGCTTTAGTCTTCGTTTGTTCGACTGACAGCGAAGCAAGCAAAATTAGACAGTACTGCGATGACATTACAATTTAAATTCAACGTTTTAGCTTTTTCATATTCCTTTACATGTCACTACGTTTAAATAGGTTGACTTGGGACATTTTTTTCGTGGTTTTTGTATTAGACCCGTCGTCCATTTATTTGTAAGTCAATGTCGCAGACAATATAAGGTAGTAAAAGCTAAACCTAGTTTGTTTTTTTCGGAAAGGGTCCGTAGGCTCAATGAAATTATGAGAGGAGTCCATGAGTAGAAAAAGGTTGAGAAACTCTTCCCTAACAGAACCAAAGCCTCAAAAACCAAATACCCATATATTCTCAGTAGTAACCTCAACCATCGCAGAGCGGCGAGCCTATCGGTTTTCTATCAAATACATTTCGGAAAGTGTGCTCAACGTCTTTACAATTTAGATTCACGCTCACCGTTCTTTTTTCGCTCGATAAGAAATTCTGCGTAATTCCATTTTTATATGATTGATATACCACCCACTCTCACGAAGCACTTTGCTTCCTTCTCCCTAATGGGCATGGAAAAGAAATAGAACACAATACCGGCCGTCGTCGGACCGGCATCGGAGTTTCCCGGAAACTAAAATTTGGCACTATTCAAGGCTAGAATGAATAGGCATTTTTTATAGAAACATACCGTTGT